AATACAATGCGTTACCTGGCACCACTTCCTAGAAAAGCAATTGAGATCTACATGTTTCATAACAATTTGAACAGAAGAGAAGAAGGTATATGGGTCGAAAACACTCAAGAAAGCCATGAATGGACAACTCCGATCGACATCCCAATAACTCACCTGTCAACACACCAAACACAAGTGCAGACCAATCAAATAACTATAGATAAGTTGCTTTGCTATTAGTGATATCAAAAATCATGGAGAAAGTGGATCATCAATATGGTTTTTGGAAACAAAGATCAACAGGCGACCTTTTATCGTATGTCACCCATATTTGGAAATCGCAAACAAGAAACATGGAGAATCCAGAGCTGTTGCGCTTGATATTTCTGAGTCCTTTGACCATGTGTAGCATGAATGTTTGCTGGCCAAACTTTGATGCTATGGTTCGTCGGATCATTTTTGGGTATGGCTCTCCAGCTTCCTGAAAAAACGGTCCCTGCAAGTGGCCGTCGATGGATATCTCTCGAATACTTTCATCATTAACGCTGGTGTTCCCCAGGGATCTATATTGTTTCCAACCCTCTTTTTATTGTATATCAACGACTTATTGGAAAAAAACAAGAATCCAATATATTGGTTTGCTGACAGTACAGTTGTCTCGTCATTCCAGTTGGATTCCAGGACATCGGCTACGGCAGCACATCTTCACCGGCAGTAGAAGGGCACATATCCTAATGAGGATCTAGAAGTGATTTCGAATTGGGGTGAGAATAACCAGGTTCAATTCCATGCCACAAAAACCCAGGCATCGGTTTTCTCCAAGAAGATAAATGTCTCCGAACCGGATATAATTATGTCAGGTCAGATAATTCCGCTTTTCGCTTCGATAAGCTTGTTGGGGATTAAAATAGACACCAATATGTATTGGCACAGTCATGTCCCTGGAATTGCAAAGGCTGCTTCTCAAAAGCTTGGAACACTGTTCCGAACCAAAAAACTGGACACACCCCAGCAACTTTTGATGCTTTATAAAGCTCAGATTAGACCTTCTTTAGAGTATTGTTCTCATGTATGGAGCCTATACATACCCTGAAGTTGCTGGATTCCATCCAGAAAAGAACCATCTGCCTGATTGGAGACGCGTATATCACGTGCAACTTTGGTAGCCTGAAACATCGAAGAAAGGTTGTAGATTTGTCTCTCTTCTATAGATACTTTCACGGAAAGTGTTCAAGTGACTTGGCACATTTGATTCCACCAAGAGCGGTACATATCAGAAATACGCGACAAACTGTGGCTGCTCATCGTTTTGTGCTTCAACCCAGTACACCTCGAACTTCACTGTTTAAGAACCCTTTCATCTGCAGGACTGCGTTTATGTGGAATGAACTTCCTGAGAACGTTTTTCCAAATTGAGATAATTTCTATCACCTCAAATCCAATGTGAATCGATACGTTTGCACAGACACCGCTTTGAGAGCGCCTTAAGGATTTTTCTGTAGTGCTTGTGTTTTGTTTGAAAGCAAATAGGAGTGAGCATTGGGATGGACTCCCAACCATCATAACCCCAACGCTCGTATAAATACGAGTGAACACGTAGCTCACCAGTCTGTCGTTGATGATATTTCGTGATGCTCTGTTCGTAATCGTATTCAACGCTTTTACCACTGAGGATGTTTGCCACACTAGAAGACGAAGCGTTTGGTATAACAAGTTCCTACCAGTCTGGCAGTCTGGCTATAACTCTGGCTGTAAAAGCCGTCGTTCTTATCTTGCTCTAACTGTTGCGGTTTATGCACCATCAGATGTGAACGACAGTTATATTTGTACTTCATCCGTATTATTATTCTCTTGTACCTGTGTATTTCTACTATTACTATACAATTTTGTATTGTTACCGGTAGAAAATGAAGATCATCATTATAACAGTACTATTGTAAGTGTTTCTGAAATATTCATTGTAGTAGATTGCCACTGTCGACCAATTGCACAGAAAAAATGGAGCCGAAGAACTCACAATCTCCAGTCTGCAGACCTGTGAGCTACAGTGATGAATGTTTACATCAGAGAGATCATCAATTCATATAATAACCTCAACATTTACGATGATTCCGTAATGGCACATTCATTTCCTAGATAAATGAGTGGCTTTATGCTCCACAAATGACTGCCTTCCTTTTTATCAGATGGAAAAATGTATAATTGTTGCGCCTCGAGGTAGTTTATCATGAAATGAGGTTCTATCTCCAGAGATCGATTACCGTAGCTAGGAGCGATTCGAAGGGTTGATTGCTTGTACTAACTGCTGGACTGCTTTTTGTGAAAGTTGTTTTGTCAATCTACTGAACTTACTCTGTGTTTTTTACACAGATATTTCTTGATCTCCTGATGAAATACATCCATTCATATTTCACCCAATTTGGAAGATTATGGTGATGGCTAGTGATAGATTAATCAATGAAGAGCAAACTTGTGATGCACTGTTTGGAACCTTTGGTGTACTAATAAATATTGCTGGAGTTTTATCCCAACACCAAATCGTTATTTCAACACTTCGACACGTGTTTCGATCATCTTCAAGAGAAAGGCTAATATGAAGAGAAATGTGAAATTTTTTTTTCTAGCGCAGTACAATATCTCTTGATCATATGGTTTCCAGTGTTCAATGGCGTATATATATTATTATTAGTCTGCCAATGATACAAAAATGTTATTTCAGCAGTAGAGTTCCAGTTTTCTCTTCAGAAACAAAATAACGGAAAACCAAAAACTGTCCCAAATCGACAAATATATTGAGAAAGTGAATGATTTCGNGGAAAACCAAAAACTGTCCCAAATCGACAAATATATTGAGAAAGTGAATGATTTCGATTCAGTTCGATTGAAGTATCAAACGTTTAGCCAACAGTGAACGCTGAACACAGCACGATAACGGGAACAAAATGGATGTGAAACTAGCTTCAGTCTCTTTATATTTGCAGAAGAAATAGTACTGAAACTCAAAACTATTCACTCAACAACTCATAGACTACACCACACTGTGCTACCACAGTTTAGCTGAAAGCAGTAATCCCAGTATCCCCACTTTTTGGTAATAAATCACAGCGCCGATGATCGAATCGTAGCAGGTAGTTTCTGGATGCGCCGTGAATTGCATTACAACAGGAATGTTCCAATATATATACTTCTGATGTACTGTTTGGAACCTTTGGTGTAGTAATGAATATTACTGGAGTTTTTCCCAACACCATATCGTTATTTTTAACACTTCGACACGTGTTCTGATCACCAAGTGATCATCTTCAAGAAGAAGATAAAACTGGAAACTTCGCGAAACTAAAGCTATTTATGCTATACAGATATATCATACAGGTATACCACCCATACCTTAGCCAAATCCTAGGAAAATACTTTGACTTTTCTTTGGTTTCCATTTCGAATCTGCTCATGAACAGGTCTGCCAGGTAGGGGGACAAGCGGTTTCCCATGACCGTTCCTTCCTGTTGTTCATAAAAGTAACCTTCCACCTGGAACCGACTTTGTTTCTTACACAAATTAGTAAAAGAAACGAATTCATCGGTTTCGTTATTTTCGAAATTAGTTTTCTCTAGTAATTCCCTCAGGTATTGCAAGGTGTATGGAATTGGGACGCTAAGAAATAAGGAACTAACATCAAAAGAAACCAAAATCTCACCTTCTTGCAGAACCACGTTTTTTGTATGTTTTATGAACTTTAAAGAGTTTTTTATACTAAAACCTGGTTCCGCAATAGATAAGGTTTCAAATATGTTTAGAATTTGGAAAAGAAACCGATGCTCTCAATATGGAAAATATCCCATGTCCATATCAGTGCATATCCAAATTCTAACCTCATGATAACCAACTAAATCACTCTGTATTCGCCAACCTTTCTTACAACCTGCTCTCGAATTACCATTCCCATATCTAGATGAAACAACAGGAAACCGAACAATTGAACTGTCCTGAAAACGAGTTTTTTTTTTGGTTGGCTCACCGCTCGCAGGAGTTTTCGCATCATGACGGATACTCGTATCCGGTCACTGCCGAGGCCCTGTTTCGTTGTAACGAGATTGTTTTCGTCTTTCCCATGGGTATGCTTATGAAAAAGAGGCAATCACTTTCCTTATTAGGTCAATCATCAACTGCGGAATGAAGACGTATGTTTTATTGTCAGTCTCAGCATTTTTCAGGGTCATTAAAATATGGCGATTCATTCAAAGAAATTATATGTTCTGCTTCCTCAATTTGGTAGAATCGTCATACGAAAAAAGCTGTTTTTTTAATAAGGATCTAGAAGTGAATTCGATTTGTGGTGAAAGTAAGTTTGTTGGGGGTTAAAATGGACACCAATATGTCTTGGTACAATCATATCAAAGTATTTGTGAATGTTGCTTTTCAAAAGCTTGAAACACTGTTCCGAACCAGAGAACTGTACACACCGTAGCAACTTTTGATGTTCAGATTAGACCTTCTTTGGAATTTTGTTCTCATGTATGCAGCTGCGCCCATATTTATTAAGTAATCGACAGCACAAGCAGCTCCAATAACAGATTACAATGTCAAAAACTAATTGAATAACTACTCTCAATATAATACAATGACTAAAACTAAAATTACTCCAAATCATCTGAATCAAAATCAAATTTAAAGACACATTCAGTCGAAAATGACAAATGGATCTTTTTCGTTCAAATTGACTCTCAGTTACAACTCTCAATGCTTAAGGATGACATCTCAATTTCAATATTTTTTACAAAAATCTTTCTGAATTACATTTAACAAAGAAATCTATATTCCTATAGAGGGGAATTCAAACCTAGTTTGTTTCGAGAATTAGGCAAAACAAATATATCTTTCCTTCTATTATTGAAGTATGTACTGCAGTTTAGATAAATTTTTGACAACACGTCTGAACTATCTACTTTATTATGCAATTAAGCACAATAATATAATATCTTGTTAGTTTCAGTAGCAAACTGACTATATCTCATTTTTTTCAGTCAGAATGTAATTCTGGACGGCAGTTTTTCCAATGATATGCAGACGAAAAATATCAATGCAGAGAGAGGACCTGGTACAAGTGACGTGAACGACAAAAAGGAGCTAACATGGATCGAGGTTAGTGTATTATCAATTTTGGTTCAGTCACCAGCAAACATTCAAACTATCACACTCACAATTATTCTTTCAAAAGCACTTCCTGGATGGAAGTTGAAAGCATATTAATTGTATATCCCAATGAAATTATTGTTCTATAATGTCCTTTTCCAATATTTTATTCTAGGAGGATAATTACAGAATTATTATATCATTCAGTCAATTGTTTCGATTTATTAGATCCTTCAAAATACGGTAATGTTTCTCAGTATTTGTTAGGGACAAGATGATTATGATAGTACGGGGACACATTCTCAAAAACACTTCAATGTGAGATTTTTACATTTCTTACATGATTGAATTTTGAGACGTCATTTGAGTGAGCTTTTTTTCAACCCCCCATTTTGGAAATATTGTTTAATACCTTCCAATGCTCATCGATGCTTGCGGGGAATCAGATAATATTGAGTTTTCCCTCTCTGCACTCATTCTTTGAAAAAATGGTTTATGGAAACTTCAAATTATGATCGATAGTTGATCCTAAAACTCCTACAGAATGGGTGAATCTTATATCCTGCCCACCAACTTGCAACATGCTCACTAGTTTATTCATGTCTCTATTTAGTAACTGTTCGTTTGAAATCAGACTTTCTATGTGATCGGGGTAGGTAAGTCTAAAGTAAGTGAGTCTCCACCGCAACCCACAAGGGTTTATTGTGGCTCACACCTATTCACACTAGGCCAAATGAGCCCAGCTTCTTAGTTTGTACGGTGAGTGGTCTTTCAGGTCAGATGGTGAGAGTACGGATCTGCCGAACTCAAAGAACCTGTTTCGGTCCCCAGCGGGGTAGGCACAAAGTATATGCTCTGCATTACTTTCTTATTAGTCAGTGGGCTATGCTTGAAGACTGGCAGTAAACAAATCTAGAGCAAATTGAACTTCAAACGTTCAAGCCAGTCTCTATATACCTACACAGTTCTTCCAATGCTCATCGATGCTTGCGGGGAATCGGATAAAATTGAGTTTTCCCTCTCTGCACTCATTCTTTGAGAAAATGGTTTATGGAAACTTCAGATTATGATCGATAGTTGATCCTAAAACTCCTACAGAATGGGTGAATCTTATATCCTGCCCACCAACTTGCAACATGCTCACTAGTTTATTCATGTCTCTATTTAGTATCTGTTAGTTTGAAATCAGACTTTCTTTGTGATCAGGGTAGGTAAGTCTAAAGTGAGTGAGTCTATTCGACCCTCCACCGCAACCCGCAAGGGTTTATTGTGGCTCACACCTATTCACACTCGATCAAATAAATCCAGCTTCTTAACGAAGCCGATTAGTTTGTATGGTGAGTGGTATTTCAGGTCAGATGATGAGAGAGTACGGATCTGCCGAACTCAAAGAACCTAATTCGGTCCCCAGCGGGGCAAGCACAAAGTATATGCTCTGCAGTTTCATCATTTTCCAGATAGAGGCGACACCCACTGTCTTCCGACAGTCCGAGTTTCTACATGTGATGATTCAAATGACAGTGACCTGTAAAAAGGCTTGTTGGACATCGTAGTCCATCCCTACCGTAGTCCAACAACTGTTTGGAATCAAGCTTCGAAGGGTGAATAAACGCCTTGGAGTGAGCCAATCCTGGAAGATTCTGCTAGCAGTCCATAACTCTTCTTGCCATCCAGGTGTTCAGTGTTTGTTTGGCAAAGCCTAAGGCAATGACAATGACAGGTTCTGGTCCAATGAAGCCGTTTGCAGCACCCTCCTTTGCAAGAGAGTCAGCAGCTTCATTGCCTTCCAGGCCAGTATGGCCAGGAATCCAGATCAGAGACAATCTGTTAGGTCTTCCCATCGAGGAGAGTCTTTTTTGGCGGTTTGCTACCAATTTAGACGTTGCTAGGTAGGAGCCAAGAGCTTCCAACGCCGCTTGACTGTTCGAGAATATTTTTATTGACTTGTGTATGAGGTTGGATTCCTCAAATCTCTCCGCACACAATTCAATAGCGTAAATTTCCGCTTGAAATATAGTCGCATAAGTTTCTAGGCAGGTAGGTAACTCTGTCCTGGGTCTGCGACTGAAAACTCCTGCACCAGTGGTACTGATGGCACCACTGATAGCCAGACAGGCCTGTCTCTGTAAGCCATAGAGCTTCGCTTGGGCCGTTTTCTGTAAAGCCTTCGGCCACCAAGCAATTGCACCATGAGTGATCATTGGTCTGACAGTCATCACATAAATCCAACGGATTTGTTTGGGACCTAAACCCCAAGTTTTACCACAAATCCTTCGACATGTCCATAGAGACAGTCTGGCTTTGTGAGCATTCCAGGTGAGTTTTTTATCAAGGACAATGCCAAGATATTTCACCTCCGTTCCGAATGGAATGACCACATCATTGAGGGAAAGTGGCGTTAGATCGTCCAATTTCCTTCTCTTGGTGAAGGGGATTAACAGACATCTGCTCCCTCAGGCACAAACTGTGAACAACGTCCAATGCGCTTTGGAGGATATTACAAGCTACCCTTCTCAATGTGGACCTCGCCAGGATGACAAGGTCATCTGCATAAGCTTGCAGATCAACTTTCCTTCTGTCGAGGGCATCAAGGAGACTATCCACCAGGAGCGACCACAGAAGGGGAGATAGTACCCCAACTTGAGGGCAGCCCCTGGTGACTCTGAGCCTGATAGCCTCGCTTTGAAGAGTCGTAGTTGCAGTTCTGTTTACTAGCGTGGGATAGATCCAGCTAGTTATGGTCGATTCTATACCCTTTCTAGCCAGAGACAATCCTTTAGATTTATGTAGTGCATTGTCAAATGCTCCTTCAATATCAAGAACTACAGCAACCGCAATCTCCTTGTTGTCAAGGGATTGAAAGATTTCCTCAACGAGGTGTTTTAATGCTGAATCTGTCGATTTGCCGGTTTGATAAGCATACTGGTGGTTAATGTGATCAGGGTAGTAGAGGTTTGTGTCGTCTTCATATGTGTACACGAAAAATGTATCTAATTACTTTATGAGACTCGGAAATGTAAATAATCAAATGGTGCATGAACAGAACCCTGTGGGGCTCTGTTACTGACCATAAGCTTGAAGGATGGTTCACCGTTTACAACACCGTTTACACAAGATTCCTGACTGAATTCAATATCTCCGTCGTTATCTTTCAGAAGGTGCACATGATGACGTTAAAAGAATTAATGAGGAACCCAAACCGATCTTAACGGAAATTGACGAAAAATTTAGCGACAACGGAAAAGCACAAGAGTCATGGCTGAGATATTCGAGTATAAATTACTCTAAGATTGTAGATAATTTCGTTGAATAGATAAAATCCACGATACTTTGGAAACTCATCAGTAACCTTCGATCGTATCTGGGATTTGTTACTCCCCATATCACAATGAACTGGTCAATTGAGTTCATCATAATGCTTGTATTCCTTCACAGAAGAGAAAACTTTGGATGGACATGAAAAACGTGTTTGATTTACAAGGAAAGAAGAAAACGCACAAAATCTCTATCAATCCATAAATTTTCTCCTATTTCAGTGATTCATTTTGAAAGATTATCTCTAACGGAAAGATTTAGAGGCAAGTTGAATGTTGCTATAAAATTTCCCCCAGATGTATTAGATATTAGCAATTACGCAGGAGACAATGTGAATCCTTGTCGTTGTAATCTATATGCACTTTCGAATCACAGTGGGTCTACTTACATCAGACATCCCTACACTGGCACGTGGCACGAATACAATGATTTTCACGTGTCACCAATTACACCGAAATCATCTGTGAGTGGAGAGACATACGTCCTCTTTTATCTGTTTTTCCGTTAATCAGCTATCGCACCCCTACAAACGACAACCCTCAGAAGTCGAAACTTGTGCGAGATAAGGATCAACGAGTTCTCACCTTTTAATGTGTGATTCCTGACAAAGGTTGGACGATATCAAGTGAAAATCGATCGTTCAGACTGGGACTTGAACCACCGACTAACACGGCAGTCAATTCGAGTGAGTGAACAAAGCACCCACGTCGAACCGTCTGGCTACCGTCCAGTGATCGGTCGGAAAGGAGGAATGAGATACCTGAGAGGATTTCTCCTTTTGTGTTTTGAAATGTGATATTTATAAAATTGAGAATTGATCATTTGAAAATCTGGAATGATTAGTTCATAGATCTTTTGAATGAATATGGTTGATATGAAAACTTGTCCAAATTTCAGATACCGATTGATTTTGGTCTACAGTTACTTTCAAGTTATGCTAAGTGGAAAGTTAGTTTTTTGTTTTTTGTATATTATCTGACAGGTTCTATTCGCCTCATAAAATTCCAGACAATTTCCATATTCCATCGTGTGCACTGTGTCGAATTTTCATCATAATTCAAAACACATTGAAATCCTGAATTTAAGCATATTGAAATTCATTCACTACAACCCTAAAATGATTTTGTAATCCGTTTTATAATCGAATAAATATATCCGATCATAGTAAATCAATAGGTATCGCTATTCACTGTTTCATCTGTTTGGATTCATTCGTTTATAACATAATTGGTTTTTTACTGTCGATGCGAGTCTATCATTTATATGTTCGGTCAATTCAATTTTCATGGAACAGGAAGTCTTACTGCATTGTGAAAAAAATCAATTATTTATTCTAAAAGCCACATAACAGTGAAATCTAGATAGAACAATATAGATTACTTCCCAAAAAATACTTTTTTTAAATCATTGGACTAAATCGAACAGTTTATTTCTCCGCATTCATACACAATATTTCAAATATAATCAATTACTTAGTTTTTCATTCGTGTAATTCAATGAAAGTAGTTGTTTTGTTCCACAATGTGTTTGAAAGTAACTTCTGTGCATAATCTACATACATTTGTAGAGAGTTTATTTTGCTTTGTTCCTTTCTCTGGAAGGTTTTTTTTTACAATTTTTGAACCAAGATGGAGAATCCTAAAAATGTTCTCAAGTTGAGTTGAATCACTATTGTTTCATAGCACTTGTTCCAGAGAAATATGAACTGCTGGTTTCCAGTTGGTGAAGATTATACTCAAAATCAGTGAAAANAATTTTGTGCCCTTTCAAATGATATATCACTCGACCCCACTTTCTATTTAAAATTTTAGGGTTGTTACTCACCCTCGCTAGGGGGTTGAAGGCACAGGTAGAAAAATACATCTAAAATGTGTCCCCCTCAAAAGCAAAATTGACCTGTCCGAGCATTTATGCGTTAAGTTACAAAAAAAGGAGAAAAGCTAGGTGCATACTTTTCGTTAGACCACTCGATATAGAAGTTAATTGGCTTGATGGTTCAGGATTGAATTGGTAACAAATACTCCAGTAAAATATTGGGGGCAAAGTGAAGATCCTGTTAATTGGTACCAAAGTAGAATCATGAAGTATTTATTTGACTGATTTTTGATGGATACAACCTCGTGCGTAATTGGCGTTATGTTCACATGAAAGGCAAACAAGGTTATGTTGTCTTTTTTTTATGAAAGGCCAAGAAGCATCCATTTGACTATTTGGCACTAAGTATTTATGAGGGATAACTATAAAGGTAAAGTATCGTTACCTGAATGAGTGGCAGCAAATATTTCTGTAGAATATTTGTGGCAAAGGCAACATTCTTGTTACTTTGTTAGTATTGATGTTGGAAGGCATTCACTAGATTGTTTGGCGCTTTGTGTTTAGATCTCATTGACTCATGGATACTGTTGTCTTTTTTGGCTCCTTCAATTTTCAATTCGGGAACAATATCTCGGAAAATGATATATCGGCCAAAAACATTCCAGTAAAAAACATCTCAAGATATTTTGCTCAAAAAATCTCAATACAAAAATATATGAATAACATACTTGATAATAGGATAAAGAAGAAATGTTGAGGCATGTTTTGACTAACGACAGAAACTCCACGAAACAATCAGATACATGATGTAGATGATTTTTGCTTTATCACTCATTTCATGCACTGAATTATTGCATCTAAACAGCTATAGACTTTTTATATACTCAAGTTCTTTGGAGTCGGAAACTGAAATACTGTCAGCAACAAAACGTTTCTGGTTCATCAAAACAACTATATCCTCAATCCTCTTTCAGAAAACGATCTTCTTGATACCGCAACAGAACGCATCAGATAACGTCATCAATCAGCCTGGGGACACCTCAAGAGTAAATGGAGGCCTTCGACAGCAGAACGAGCATTGCGAAGTACCACCGCTGCCACCCAGGTCCACGGCCATCTACGATCCTCACTCATTGCTCTCGCAATTTGAAGGTAACAGTATTCGACATGATTAGATTAGATACAGTTCGTTATCGCTAATCGTGAGGAGGTGCTTTTTATTAAAATTTGATGGTGCAGATGATGATATTATTGTTTCAGACATTATTCCGGTACTTCGGGCATATGGGGACCGTTGACGTACATTGAGAGTAATGGCTAATATTTGTGATACTAGGTTAGATGTATCATGTTGGTAGTTGTTAAAAAGTATAAAATATTCCCCGCTGCTTTATAACTGTATATAACGAAGTTGATGAATCTGACTTACGGTATCGGGCTTTTTACAACTACAATTGTGATAATAATAATGTTAGGTCAAGTCAAGATTCATTTATAATTTTTGATACATGAACGTATAGGTATATGACATGTCACATTTTACAAAATATTTTTGATATAATGTCACTTATATCATTTACAACACATGTTACACAAAAATGTTATTTTCATATTCTTTCAGGGAGTGAAAACAACTTGTTATCAGAATATTTTTTTCCTGAATTTGAGAAAAAAGTTAGAATATTTTGCCCTGGCATAAAGTGGTCAACCTTTGTATAGTTGTAGTAAACGATATTGTGAACAGAGGGTATGTTTCAATGTATATGAGAATCTACATCTCAAGTTTGGTTTCGAGGGAAACAAACAAGCAACATCAGATTTGACCGAAATTCCTTCCTCAACTGTACGTAAAATAGTCAAAAACAAACCTTATGAACGCGAGACGCGATGTGATACAGGTTTACCAAAACCTTCAGGTGATATACGACTGTTACAAAAGCAGTGAGATTCCTACAACTGAAATCATAAGGAAGAAATTGAATACTTCCAGCCGTAACGTGAACTGCTGTGACAATACTTTTCAGAATTGGATAAAGAAACTAGGATTTACATTCAAAATAATAAACAAAGGACAATCAGTTATGGCAAGCGGAAGAATAGTGGAATTGCGTAACGAATACTTAGAACAAATAACTAAATATTGACAAGAACAATGGCAAATTTTCTATGTGGAGGAAACTTGGTACTACTCACGTACTCACGTACTTGGTACTACTCACGACACAGTTACGAACGGGTGGACTGATGGTTCGAGAATGTGTACGCCTAACATGCCTGCAAACAAAGGATCGCGACTAATCATTGTACATTGCAATAGAAGTGAAAGATGGGTTTCAAATTCTTCGAAATTATGTGAAAAAAAACTTGAGGACTGCAATGTTGACTCTCATAAGAACATGGAAGCTACTATTTTTGAGGAATTCGAGGAAAGATGAAATAAAAAGTTTTTTAATGGATAACAATTTTGAAGATTACTATACCAAAAACCAACTACTTGAAGTTTAACAGACAAAAACATTTGAAAAANATATTGAAAACTACCTTCCAGTGAGCAAGCAATCTGAAATTCCAAACTTGCTAGATTGTTTGATAACTAAAAAACTGACATTCGATACAAAAAAAAGGCTTTATATCTGGTAGATCCACTACTATGCTTCATCAACATTTTCTTTTGGATAACCTAGAGGAAAAACACCAAATTAACTCTACTCTATTTATACTGATTGCTGTGTAGTGTTTTGTAATTCTAAGCTTACTAGGATCTCAATCATCACATTGGCGTGCACACTCCAACTCTTACTACTTTGAAAGTCTTAAAGTATTCAAGTTTTTTCCTGTTTTAACAACTGATTTGTTATCAGTTTCTCTTCATGATTGAATTCATGTCCCTCTTTATGAAAGATACTAGTATATGTTGGATTATTGTTTTCATTCTGGAAGCTGTTTGAATGATATTCATGCGTGCTCTTAGTGATCTTCTAGTTTGACCTATATAAAACATTGAATATGGTCCATATGATAGTTCATAGACTCCTGATCTACTCGACACCAAACTCTTGTGCTGCTACTTATCTCTGTTATTTCCAATATGCATGTTCAACTAATCATTGGTTTCATCAGCCGAAATATTCACTCCAAGTTGACCCAAATGAATGATTTTCGACCTCTTAATTCAGATACCAGATTGCAATCTTAACCATTGTTTTATATATCATTCAGTTCTGTAGTAAAATTCACATCATACAACGTAACATATACTAGCCTGTCAATGATGTTTAAAGCTGCTACTTCCAGTTGAAATGGATATGCGAGTGAAAAAAATCTACTAGATTGCTATCATAACCATTGTTTTATATATCATTCAGTTCTGTAGTAGAGTTCACATCATACAAAGTTACATTTACTAGCCTGTCAATGATGCTACTTCCAGTTAATATGGATATGTGAATAATAAATAATCTACTAGATTGCTATCATAACCATTGTTATATTTATCATTCACTTCTGTAGTAAAATTCACATCATACAACGTAACATATACTAGCCTGTCAATGCTGTTCAATGATGCTACTTTCAGTTAATATGGATATGTGAGTGATAAAGAATCTACTAGATTGCTATCATAACCATTGTTTTATATCATTCAGTTCTGTGGTAAAGTTCACGTCATACAAAGTAACATTTACTATCCTTTCAATGCTGTTCAATGATGCTGCTTCTAGTTAATATGGATATGTGGGTAATAAATAATCTACTAGATTGCTATCATAATCATTGTTTTATATCATTCAGTTCTGTAGTAAAGTTCGCAACATACAAAGTAACATTTACCAGCCTGTGAATGCTGTTCAATGATGCTACTTTCAGTTAATATGGATATGTGAGTAATAAACAATCTACTAGATTGCTATCATAACCATTGTTTTATATCATTCAGTTATGTGGTAAAGCTAACGTCATACAAAGTAACATTTACCATCCTGTCAATGCTGTTCAATGATGCTACTTCTAGTTAATATGGATATAGGAGTAGTAAAGAATCTACTAGATTGATATCAAAACCATTGTTTTATATCGTTCAGTTCTGTAGTGGTTCACATCATACAAATTAACATTTCCTAGCCTGTCAATGATGCTACTTCCAGTTAATATGGATATGTGAGTAAAAAATAATCTACTAGATTGCTATCATAACCATTGTTTTATATCATTCAGTTCTGTAGTAAAGTTTGCATCATACAAAGTAACATTTACTAGCCTATCAATCATATTGTTCAATGATGCTACTTCCAGTTAATATGGATGGGTGAATGCTAATATCTGTGTGGGCTGGTTAACGAAAAATTGAAAAATTGTTATGGTATCATATTGATCACATTATATCTAAATCACTCAAATTTTTGGGATTTTTTCAACGATCCAGAGATAATTTTTTTATAAATACCTTTAAAATCTTGTACTGTTCTTTCGTACGCTCGGTTTTGGAAAATAATATGGAGTCCTCTATATCAGACAGATATATCTATAAGAAAGTACAAAACAAATGTCGGAGATATGGTGAATAAAGATGTATTATTATTATTATCATGTGCATTTTAGCTTTGATATCAGAGATCTGACTATGAGTACTCAAATATTCTGCTTCTTCTGAATTTATTTACTTGGAGCACCGCCGAGCTGAAATTGATTTGAGACTCCTTCATAAAGTTATAACTGGTGATATGAACTGTCCATTTGTAACACAAATGATTAACTTCAATCTAAATTAAAGAAGAACGAGAGTGTCAAAGTTGTTCAAAGTTCCTTACCTTTCTACTAGCTATGCCATTAATGAAACCATCACTAGAATGCTTAGTTAGCAAATAAGAATAGCAGCTGTATTGATTTGTTTGACCAGGTTAAACGTATTGACCTACTATGAAGGAACTGCTGAGTATTATTATTATTAATTCATTGATTTTTGTTTTTTTTTGTATTCCATTTTATTATTCAATTGTTTATTTTTTCAATCACACTATTTAAGTGTTCATTGTATGATGGCAAGTCCGTTAATAAATAAATAAACATAAATATAACATGAATACGAATTATAAAAAAAATATGAAACTCTATAGAAAAGACTGCCAGTCAAAAAATAGGATTCAAGTCTAGTCAGCAGAAGAAACATATTTTCTCACGTAAGCATGAAACGCGTATCTCAAGTAGATGTACATCAAGACGTTCATTACTGTGAGAGGCTTGTGGAGATATTTGAGTTAATTTTCTTATAGAAGTTACTTCAATCCATTCGTAGCGCAAGATATCTGTTCAAAGTTTAACTCTCAAGGTGTCTCTTGACCAAGTGGAATCCTATTCATTGATCAAGTTACAGCTTGACAAATCCATATGGTAACTGTCCATTACCATTCAGTTCTGTAATAGTTCGCATCATAAAAAGTAACATTTACTAGCATGTCAATGCTGTTGAATGATGCTACTTTCAGTTAGTATGGATATGTGAGTAATAAAGAATCTACTAGATTGCTTAAAATTAAGGGCATGTCTCGAGTTCGAGGAAAGTGAATGCCTGCATCATTAGTACTCTCATCTTCGTTGAAGTAATGACTTTGATAATTGATGTAACGGTGTGAGAGTAATGATGATGCTAAGAAAAATTATGAGGTAAAATTGTTTCAGACAAATTTTTAATCACTAGAACATTGTCATATTTGAGGTCTACATAAATTGAGACTTTTTAGTGTAATGATGTGTTGTGTTTGAAAAATTATCTTTATTGTGTACAATAATTTCTATTTTTTCACGATAAATAATTGAAAGAAGTCGAGGTCTATTTTTTATACAATTCCCCAATATAGAGACATCATAATAACGGGTTATAATCTGTATTTCAGCTATTCTTGTCCCTCAAAAACATGGCAGAGATATTAGTAGGGGTCCTTGTGGCGAAAAGAAAATTTAAGAAATATTCGAAGCTTGGTGAAAATTATCTTTTTCGCTCTATTGCAGTTGACAATCATGACTAACTATCTAGCTGACAATAGGCCCCCGATTTTATGTTTTTTTTCTTTTTTGATGTTATTTATTCTCAAATTTCATAAATTCTAGGAGGGTGGAAACAGGTCATAAGTGTTGTAGGAAGGCCT